ATAAAACTTTTCGGATGTAAGGCTGATGGCAGAGACCGAGACGTAAAAACTTATGTATGTCGTAGTCGTTTCCACACGTATCCAATAACCTTTCACGACTTACGTTTTTCTCTGCCTTACCATACGTCCACGACAGACGTCTACGACAGACATAAGTGCTTACTTCTCGTTCTCTGCCATCGGCCTAACTAATATTCCGTAATGGATTCCACGACGCGACGTAAAACTTTAGCGAGCTCAGTTGAGACTGTTCCGACTGCTTAACGCCATTGCTTCGCGAAAGATCTAATGCGCGCGATACACGCCGCGAGTAGCGAGGGTGCAGTAGCAGTATAACAAATGAATGCGGCGAACAGTTGATCAACCGTTTAGTGAGTGATGACAAAACTGTTGCAGAGCGCTGCGATTTATGTAAATATAACAAGAAGTTTTGTAGATCCAACAAGAAAACACTTATTCAAATCCTTATAGTAAAGTTAACCAAACGGTATTGATATAAGGTGTAAAATTTTGTGACGATAACCAGAAATTCTGTTTCGTTTGACTAAAATACGGTCAACCAGAAGAATTTTGTTAATATAATAAAACCATTTTTCTCAGTGTAGGTTATGAGTCAACAACAAGTAAACGATTTTTGCAAGGAAATAAATTTTCATTTAAGAATGTGCATTTTAATGGACCACTCTCTGATGAAATTAGAGTAAATATTCAATATAAACGATGTTTTAACGATCTATATGCAATACATTGTAAAGATAAAAGAAATAATACTTGTATTTTAAATGATGGTACGGCTATAGTAATTTCTAATATTATCGAAAGCTATGATGATAATAGAATTTACGTAATTGGAGCAAAATTAATACCGATAGGAAACGTATATTCATCTCCAACAGCATCACGTATGCTTAATATTCGCAATCGTTACAAAAGATGTAAACTTACATGTATATCCTATATCAAAAATAGCAGGAAAATTATGGCTGATGCTGTACGATAAAAAATTATTTATGTTTCCGCTATTACATACTACATAATGTAAAAATAATAATCTTGACGCGCATTTGCTTGCTTGTATGCGAGACTTTTGCAATATAAATATACAGGGTGATTCAAAACAATGTACTGTCCTTGCAATGCCATATTCTTGAACAAATTTTAAGACAATTTTTCCTTTTGCAAAATGTTGAAAAACAAAAAATTTTTTTATATTTTAAAAAGTAAGTCTACAAAATGTACATTATTAATTTGCTACATACTTTTATTATAATTTTAAATTCAGTATGCATATATGCTATCTTTTATATTAATTTTGCATGTAATTTTATGATCTAGCATGTATATATGCTATCTCTTATATTAATTTTTCATGTAATTTTATGATCTAGCATCAATTTTATATCTATCCAAATTACACACACACACACACACACACACACACACACACACACACACACACACACACACACACATATATATATCTACTTGAATTATTTCCATTTAATAAATTTAAAATAAAAAATTTATTTTTAATAAATTTTTAATAAATTTTTAAAATTTTAATAAATAGGGAGAAGAACCCACTCATAATCGGATAGTGCCGCTCCTAACACTCGGCGGCGCTGGCCCTAGCGGTTGCGGCGCGCGCGGTAAGGAGAGGAAAGGAGGCGTATACCACGGAAATCGGCTAAAATGTTCAGACTAATTCCGAGCACTGATATATGGCAAAGAAAATTGTTCGATTAATATCCATAATTTATTGCATTTACGTGACAATGTAAAAAAATTTGGAATTCTACAGGAATTCAGCGCATATCCTTTTGAAAATTATATGCAAAAGATAAAAGGATATATTCGAAAATATGATAAACCATTAGAACAAATTATTAACCGCAAATGCGAAGAAGATATTATAAAATGTGATAACAAATTAAGTATAAATATCAAACCTCGACTAGAAAATCAACACAATAATGGACCTTTATTGGTTGATCAAGTTTGTGTAGATTAGTGGGAAAAACTTATCTATCATAACTTCACTTTGCAAACAAAAGAACCAAATAATTGCTGTTGTTTAAGAGACGGTAGCATTATTATAATTAGAAATTTTGTCTCCTATTACAATCATAATGATGCAATTAGAACAATAATTATTGGGCATAAATTTGAATCATTGCAAGAATTTTATACCGAACCATGTGAGTCGTCCCAATTAGGAATACATTTAGCAGAGCATATTATGGATCCACTGCAATCTTGGGATATTAATGAAATAGACTACAAATGTCTTAAATTAAACTTTAAAGATAAATTTGTCATTTTTCCATTGTTACATAGTGTATAAATTATTGTTTGATCGTGTTTATTTGGGCAAGTGATGTTTGGTTTCTCCTATCAGTCATTTATTGCAACCTAATTATTTATTTCTTATTACTTTATTGAAGGAATTTACGCCGTCCCTAATCATTTACTAAAATAATATTTTTAATAAATTTACAGTATCGGTCAAAATTATATCACCTTTTGATTTTTTTAGCATAACTTTCTTCAAAGTGCATCGAATGCGCTCAAAATTTTATACTAGACACTTGGTGGTAGGTATACTTTGTACATGAAATATAATAAGATTTGACAAAATACATCAGTTTTAAATTTTTATTAATTTTTCAAATATGCCGCCTTTGTGCTTCCTTTGTTTTTCATATGGCAATTGTTGCTTTTATTGTCATAATTTAGTTTTAGCAGTTAAATTTAGTATTTTAATTATGACAAAGACCCGTGGTGCACGAGATATCGATGAACGACAGCAGAAAGCCATCATAGAAGGCCGCAAACAAGGACGAACGCATGAGCAACTCGCCTAGCAGTTTGGCATTTCCAAATCGGCGGTGACCAAATTTCTCAAACGTTGGAAGACCCAGGGAGGTTATATTAAGAAAAAGAAAACCGGACGACCGCGTTGCACTACTTCTATCATCGATCGCAACATCTTCCGCACAGCCCGTAGCAATCTACGTCTCACGGCTCCGGAAATTGCTAAAGAATATTCGCTTTTGGAGAGTCTAATCCATCCGTACGGACCATACGTCGTCGCCTACAGTCCGGAGGACTGCATGGACGACGACCCGTGAAGAAACCATTTATTTCTGCAAAGAACCGGAAGGTGCGAATAGAATGGGCAAAAGCACATTTTAACTGGACACCTCAGCAATGGTCTGACGTCGTCTGGAGTGAAGAAAGTAAGTTTATGTTATTTGGTAGTGATGGAATAACATGGATTCGCCGTCCTAAAGGCAAGCGCTTCGACCCCAAATACCAACTTCCCACAATAAAACATGGAGGCGGTTCAGTCATGGTGTGGGGTGCTTTCTCCGCAAAAGGAATGGGCCCTCTTCATAGAATCGACGGCATCATGAATCGAAAAGTATACATAGACATCCTTGAGAATGTGATGCTTCCATATGCAAAGCGTTTCCTTGGTCGCGGTTTTATTTATCAGCAGGATAATAATCCGAAGCATCGTGCGACTGAAGTACAAGAGTGGTTCCGACGCCGTTGAGTAACTCTAATGGAGTGGCCAAGCCAATCACCTGACCTAAATATTATCGAACCATTGTGGGAAGAGCTGCAGAGGCGTTTGGCCAACAAGCGAGCTACAAATACGGCCGAAAAATTTGCCCAACTTGAGAAAGAATGGAAGAAAATCCCTCAATCGACAATTAACACACTAATCGACTCCATGCCTAGACGTTGCCAAGCTGTAATCGATGCCAAAGGTTTTGCTACAAAATACTAGAGTAGTACAATGTAAAATATGAATTTGTTGTTCATTTTGAACACATTTATACTTATTATGATGATTTAAAGTTTATTATTAAATTTCATAGATTTTGGAGATTTCAAATAAAATTAATTTTTCAGAAGTTGTTGTTTTCATTATTTGATGAAAACTTATTTGTTTAGTAAGCTGTACCTATCGTCAAAATATATTATGATTTGAAAGATATCCGTACACTTTAAAGCAAGTTATCCTAAAAAAATCAAAAGGTGATATAATTTTGACCGGTACTGTACATATTTATGTTTCAAAATTGTATAAAGTATTATCCACTTGATGCGTTGCCTATATATATTGCATATTGTCTTTCACCACTTCTTTAAATGCATTCATGTATGATCACATATACTCACCCATGTTAAAGTCTATGTCGTGCTGCATAATTTTTTTATTTATGTTAATGAAGGATGGTAGATACATGGACCATTGTTAATTTTGTCCACGAAGACGCTGTCGAAACTGTTCCTTCTGATTGGATAATTGCAAATAAATGTTATTGGCCACCCTTTTCTAAAGAAAAAATAATTGCAGCTATAAAAAATCATCAGGAACCCAATACTTGTTGGCCATCTCATGATGTTAGGGTTTTTCGAAATGGCACTTATAATATGCATTATAATTGATACTATATTTCAACTTATTAATTTAACCTAGTACGTGTTATTAAATATTTATAAATCTACATGTTTGTCTGTTTATAATGAATATAATGAATAATATATACATTATATTATTATTTTTTAGATAATTATAAAAAGGCACTCCAAAAAGCGAGGAAGGCAGAAGAATTTTCTGATTTAAACTCCCAATCAGAGAATGATAATTTGACTTTGCCAAAAAGAAAAATGCAGAAAAAATATAAAAATTCCGACGAAAATTCTGATGAAGAGAATATATTACCGAGTCCTCCACGTATTCAGAATGGTTTGTTATATTTGTATATATAAAAATATTAGTTACATTAAAATACACGAGTATAAATCTAACAAGGGGAGGACGCGGACTTCGGGTCACCAATTTCAAAGAAATTTTTATATGGTATAGTACTCTATCAGAAGAGTACTTTAGTAAAAAGATAGGGCGCAACGCTCAGCCGTTTTCGAGAAAAATCGATTTGAAGTTTATGGCATCCCTTATATTTCGGTCCTGTTGGATCGATTGTCGAGATGGCGGCGTAGCTCGGGCACTTAGGCTCTGGGCTATCACGCTGTCGACCTGGGTTCGATCCCTGCCTATTATACTTTTTTTTTCATTTAATTTATTTATTCTAGCGAATATTTATTCATTATATTATTATAATAAAATAAATTTATTTTAATTAACAATAATTTTTTTTTAATTTGCACTTTCACTACTTCTATCATATAAAAAATAAAGTAAAAAAACATCTACAATTTAAATAATATTATAATTATTATTTAATACCAGAAATATTTTATTAATCATAATTTAATTTGGTATGTAATTTTTCACTCAACTTCGTTGAGTTACTTATTGCTCCAACCATAATATTTGTATACCTAATGTTGTCACATCAGGTAACTGCTAACAGTTTTTAGCTCCCCTTCAGACTACTTCTTTTCTGTAACGTATATTTCTACACACCAAATTAATTATGATTAATAAATTTTGTATTAATAATATTATAATATTATTTTAAATCGTTAGTACGTTTTTTTTTACTTTATTTTTTTATATGATAGTAGTGAAAGTGCAAATTAAAAAAAAACAAAATTGTTAATTAAAATAATTTTATTTAATTATAATAATATAATAAATAAATATTCGCTAGAATAAATAAAATAATAAAAAAAAAAAGTATAATAGGCAGGGATCGAACTCAAGTCGACAGCGTGATAACCTAGGACCTAAGTGCCCGAGCTACGCCGCCATCTCGACAACCGATCCAATAGGACCGGAATATAAGGGACGCCATAAACTTCAAATCGATTTTTCTCGAAAACGGCTAAGCGTTGCGCCCTATCCTTTTACTCAAGTACTCTTCTGATAGAGTACTATACCATATAAAAATTTCTTTGAAATCGGTGACCCGAAGTCCGCGTCCTCCCCTTGTAAGTTATTAATCATCTTTCATAATAATCTGAAAATATTATAATAGTTTTTTTTCATAATAATCTAAAAATCTAATTCATACTAAAATCTAATTTATTTTTACTTTCATAATAATCTAAAAACGTTATAAAGAATGAAATATATTTGTTCGCGAGCGAGAGAGACGCGAATGCAAAACGTAGGATTTGTGAGGAGTGCGATAGAGACACAACGAATTTGTAACAAATTTTAAACACTATTTATTTTTACACACACATATACACTGAATAAAAGTCTAATTAATGAATACAAGATTTTAACACTCGAAACCTGTTTTAGAAGCGAAACACCTTATCAGCGATCGGATGGAGCGCGAGGAGTGCAAGCGGTTCGACTCAGTCGAAATTTGCGGAACTTGCGGAAGCGAACGTGTAAAGAACGCGGAGCGGTGCAACTTTTACTGCGGTGCAAAAAAGTGCGAAAAAGCGTTAGTAGGGTCGATGTTGGGCCCTTTATACTCGGAAAAACAGGGCTTATTTTCGCGAGTAACTAATCGTTTTGAGTGATTCAAAAAACGCTCAAGTTGACCCCCGCAAATTGTAGTTTATTGGTTACTCGTTTATAGTTGTTAAAACGAGTCGTTGTTGACTTGCGCGCAGGCGGAATTGGCCATCGCATTGGCTCACGGAAATTGTGACGCGTTAGTGCGCGCACGCGCGATTGCAATTCGTGGTTTGCCGTTGAGCAGCAGACGGTTAAATGTTTATTGATAAGCTCGTTGTTTCCCTTTTTTTGTCCAAGCGTTTATCGGAGGGCGTCATGCTTTAATGAGCATATAACTGTTTCTTCCGATGATTGGGAGCGTTGGTTACATTGAATTTACGCGAGATGCATTTTGCGATCTCAAACAATATTTTTATTTTTGCAGCATTAAAGACAGTTACCAAAAACACTGAACCAGTGACTAAAACAATGGTGGAAAATAATACCATTACAATACCATCAAAGATCACTCATTGTCAGAGTACATTTTTTACTAATATATTATTCAATAATATTTATTTTCTTTTGAATAGAAATGTTATTTTGTTCTACATATTTTCAGGTTCTGCTAACAATCCAAACGAAAGTTCCATTAATGCAAACAATAACGACATTATTGTTCTCAACGTTCCGTCTTGTTTAGAATGTACATGCTGTCCTGTGCATAAAGGAATTATTTTTAATGGTATGTATACTTGGTTAGCGATAAAATGTAAATTCAGTCGTAAAACTATATAAATATGCAAAATGCTTAAAAATCTTATAACTTTTTTTATCATTTTTAGATGCCTATTTAAAAAAATTCATAAGGCAGCAACAGTTACTGAAAACACGGATTTCTCAAATGTTTGAAGAATTGTATACTCTAAGTGATTTAATAAAAAATATGCGAGAAGAAAGGGCACTTGTAAATAGAAATATCAATGAAAATGCATATATAACTATGCATACGATTTTTCAATTTCCGTTGAAGACCGTCGAACAAGTGGAAGGTGAATTAGATGCCTACTTAAAAGACGCCGAGAATTTTAAATCAGTGGTAATGATTCATATGTATTTATAATGAATATATACATATACGTATGGATATTATTGATATCTAAATACTGTTTGTTAATGTATATTGCAGGTAAATGAAATGAAGAAAATAGGCGGAAATAGTGTGTATTTCGTCAAGCGTGTCCTTCAGGTACATATTTCTAATGAGTTAGGTTCTCAATATAGCTGGCTCGGATTAAAGAAGAAAAGAGTCTTCAAAAATTTCCGTTTCACCGATGCCATAATTAGTAAGTTCTTTTTATTAGTTTCTTATGTGTATTATTGAGATTGGGAGACTATTAGGATTGTATTTATTATAAATGTAAATAATTTTTATTATTTTGTAGATTCTACCCAAGAGATAATGCAAGGTTCAAGTAAAAAAGATATTGAAGAAGCTATTAAAAAGTGGCTCCGACGATGTAAAGAGAGGATGGCCAATGAAAATAAAAGACCAGCTGCCCTACAACTTGAAAATTTTGTTGATAATGAACAATCGGAATAATACTATCAACTTATTCAACAAGTTTCATATTCGTATTTATATATCGTTTTAGAGTTTCATGTTAAATAATATGTTTTTATATGTATACGTATATATTAAAAGTCATTTATGAAATAAATAAATTTTAATGTATAAGTGGTACCAATGATTTTAATAAAATAAAGTTCCTAATAATTTAAAATAAATTGTATTTGTATAATAATATATAGTATAAATAAATATTTGTTATTTATTTATATATATTATTATATATATATAATGTCCATTTAACATCCATGGATCCATCCATTTTGGTCCATCGAATGTCCATGGATGCACCCGTTTTCATCCATCGCATGTCCATTTAATGTTTCTGGATGGATATAATTCGGCCGTCCTATGGATGTACATATCTTTCCTGAGCGGACATTTAGTGGACATACATAGGATATCCGTCGAACTTCATTTGGATGTCCCATAGATGTCCGGAATGTCCGGCGCCGATATCCACTGGACAGCCAGAGGATATCTTTGTGCTTATTGGGTATATATATATATTTTTAAAATATGTATATGTTTGTATATAATTAAATATGTATTACAATATAGCTTATATATTCTCACTATAAATGTATATTAATTTTATAATCTTATACTTTATTTAAAGAATAGATAAAAGTAAAGAAAAGAGAGTGAAGGAAAGGATAAAAAAAGAGAAAAAACAAAAAAAGAGATAAAAAGAAGAAATATAAAAAAGGAAGAAAGAGAAAGAAGGAGAGACAAATAGAAAAGGAAGGTATATAAGTATATATATGTGTATATGGTTAGTGTGTATGTATATATGGGGCATTCTTTCTCAACTTTACACTCATGCTGCCCATTTTCTATTTGATCTAAAAATTTTTGAAAAAATCTTAAAATTTACAGAAAAATGTAAGCTTTCCAATGGCGCGTGGCAAAATTATCAAATTCAATTGGATCATACTTAAAATTTGAGAAAACCGAAAAAAAATAATAAAAACGGTAATTATTCAAGTGTAGCAATTATTCATTCGACGTTTTTCTCTTCCAATTAACACTTTCGAGTACTCTGTTTATTTGTGCACTGTCACATAAGTCTAAACTAAAATGGCGG